GACATACTGTTTTCCTTACAAAAACTACTCATTACTAATGTACAATTAAAAATCACTAGAATGTAAATGTTCTTAAATTAGATTCCATTAAGGATTCAAATGTTTCTTTGCTGATTATATTAAAAGCATACTAAAATTATCTGTTTCCTAGTGTTGTGATGTTTACAATGAGTGTAATACAACTGTAAAAAAGTCAGCGTGTGCATGCAACAGACATTGCCTCTAACAACACCGTTAGGTACATTTTTTTTCCCTTACAAATAAAGGTACTCAGTTAGAGAGTGGTTTTAATGAGAATGTTTGCAATGTAGACTATTGAATTTTTTTCAGAATATATTGCAAGTGATTTGTGCAGTCTTTAAAATCATAGCTTATCTAGGCAGGCCAAACAAAAGGTGTGACTCTTCAGGATGATGTTCTCTACCCCTGTACTTCTTTCACTGTAGCCTGTGGACTTCTGGCAGTCTGCAAGGTCAAGATAAGTGCTCTGCCGGTGATCTACAGAGCTAAATTGATGATAAAGGAGTTGGCAGCCCTCAATAACCCTTAAGGTTAATAGTGTTTCATTGGCTGGAAAAAAAAAGAGAATCTCTATTCCCTTAACAAAAGGAAATTGAACAAGTTGCATGTTTTGAAGAAATATCTTGACTTTAATTCAACTGAAATACAGTGGCATCTGGGGTTTTTTTAGCTATTAAGAAAACAGATGCAGTATGGTTCTCATTCAGAAGAAGACTTAACTGCATTATTTACATTCTTCCAGCATTAGGATTCACTTGAAAACTCCACTGGTTTTCATGTAGACTTAAAGAAACTCTACTCAAAAGACCAAGTTAGCCTTGCCATCTTCCTAGCTTCTCTCTCTGAGTTCTTTTTCACACCTGGGCTGTGTTAAAATACAAAGTTGAGGTTGTAATCATGTTGAAAGTAACTAATCATTCAGTGTGTCAGCAGATTATTGTTTTTAACATTGTATTGGCTGGTCGTGGTTTGAACTGTCCTCAGCATTACTGCTCCTGCTTCTGCAAGCTTGGATGAGCAGCTGAACTTCAGAAGGTAGCTGGGAAAATGGATGGCCTCAGAAGTGGAAACCAGCTTAAGAAGTCCTTTTCCTCTTCCTACCCACTTGTTTTTACTCTACAGTTTGCTGCGTCTCCAGTCGAATTATTTGTGAACCGAGGATCCAGCTGTATATGACCCCTGGTCAGAACTAACGTGTGACCTTCTGCCACAAAATCCTTGTTAGATTGTATTGTATTAGGTTGTTTGTTTATGTTTTCCCCACAACTGCCTTACACCGCACATGCGACACGTTCCCCCCAGGCAGGCATTGGGATGAGCAGGCCATGGCTGTAGGGCAAGGGAGGGAAGCGGGTCTTCACACCCAGCACCAAACCAGGGCCTAAAGCAGCCCAGATAGAAAGTGCCTCGCGTTTGACGTTTCATTTGTTTGGATTTTGTGTATTTTTGTTTGTTTTCTGGATTTGGGTTTTTTTTTCTGAAACATTTTTAAACAGGATCAGTTTTGTCAGCAGTAACCCAGGACTGACGGGGCAAGCGGCCAGGGGCCGCCCGCCGTTAAAACCGGGGCGGGTGAGGCGGCAC